CATCTCTGTTGTTCTTTAGTTTCTGCACATGTGCAATGTCATTTGTCACGATTGATTTAAAAGCACGCTGAGCTTCCAGACTAATTCATATCTCCTCTCGCTCTGCACAATGTTCCCAAACAAGATCTTATTTCCCTCCTTTATCCGACACTGACACAAATGCTGTATTTGTAACTTTAGAAATGTGGGAGCTGAAGGTTCGTACAACTCACACCGACTCACCGACTGATGAAAACGTACACAAAGAAGCACACATTGAGGCTTTGAGAGCAAACAAAAGCAGAGGAGGGGTCAGTGTTTCAGCAGCAGGCACGATAGAGCAGAGCGTGGGCAGAGTGTGTAAAATACTGTAGATCTCAACCGCTTTTGAACGAGAAAATCACTGACTTTTCCAGGCGTTCACCTGCTCGGCATTGTCTGTTTTGTCGCTCTGTGTGATTTGTCATTCTGGCAACACAAAGTGCCAAAGCCAACAAGACATAAGCTGCTGTCACGGCTTACAAAGACGCTCGAATATGGAGAAAAAGATGCGTCAGAAAAGCTTGTAATGCGACACCTTTTTAAAAATTCACCCCCCGAGGGAGTCTCTCTTGTAGTGGCTGACATGCTGGTATGAAACACCTCAGCACTGTGAAATAATCAGCGAAAATGTGCTTTGACGTTTACTGCGATGGGTGTGTTCTACTTCATCTTGGACTCCTCACTGACCTGCAGCCACTCGGCCCGCTGACGCTCTCTTCTTCTAAAAAAACACACCAGCAGGAAAAAGGCAAATATTAGCGTCTAAACACCCACACACACCTGGTGTACAGTACCGAGTGGTAAACAAGCGGCCTCTTCACAAGTGGGAGTTGAAAAGGGCTGCTGGGTTTGTTTGCATGGTGTGTTTATCTGTGGTCTGGAACCCTTATTTAAAGTGACATAAGAGAAGCACAGCCATAAAGCGTGGCCACTCGGTTTATCATTATCTTTGCAGCCTGCAGCGAGAAGTATGCTGTAAATGTCCTATTTTTAACCTATTTGTAGTGTTTGAAAAAGGGGATCCTGCAAAATGAACTTCCTTCTTATAGAAAAAAACCAACTTGTCCTCAGCAGAGGGGTGAGCTTTGTGTTTTTTTGTTCTCCGTCATAGAGGAACATCTTAGGAACAGAACAGGGTGGGTGGAGGGAAGGATGTTCATGGTTTTTATTGGCGATGTTTGATGCCTTGTGAAGAAAGAGGGTGAACAAAAACCTGCTGCAGAGTGATAAATCTGCAGCTGTGGTTTCTGTTTGAGCGGGAATAAACAGGGAACAGTATGTACGGGCCGGTGCAGAGCTTTTCCATCTCTGTATGCGAGAGAGAATAAAAGACACTGGGAGAGAGAGAGTATATTCAAGTTCCACTTCCTTCCCACCATTGCTTCCTTCTCAGTTTCATTCATAATTTAGCATCTCACTGCTCTGCCTGCAATTAGGGTACAGAGGGGAAACGAGTCCAGGCAAGCCCTCTGATCTTGCTAGCACGCACACTTGTCCTTATGACGTAATGCTCGACCCGGGACTCCCTGCTGCTCCCCTTAACTGCCCTACTTTGTAGCTGCGGAGGAAATTAACTGACTTTGGGATCAGAATACAGACGCCAGCTGCATCATGAACCAGTGTTGCAAAGTAACTTGCTATATTGACTCTATTCCTGTACTTCTGAGGTACTTTATGCTACTTTGTACTCCCTCCATCACCAGGATTAGAGCTGGAGGATTAAAAGTGCTGAACAGCCTTTACAAACATGACTCACTGCTGTGTGGGTGGGTGAGAAGCACAGACTCTGCCCGCCTCCACATGTACATTTTGGCAGGGGGACCAAAGACATAAACAGAATACTGTATATGTATATATATATATATGTATATTCCTGTGTGTGCAAATGGATTCATGATTCATTTGAGTCTAAATGAATCCCTATAAGTCACGACAAGTGGTCACGCGTCTCTCAGCGAAGCTGCCCACATGTGTTCAGTAATGTAAGCTGGTTTTAGGACAAAGACTCGCTGAGTGTGTCCTAACATGCGTTTTTAGAAAGAGTCTGCCAGCCGTGGATACCAGTGCGTTAGAGTGTGTGAGTGTGTTTGTTTGCGTTGCTCAGGTAGCAGGGTGGGGCTCCGTTATGGGAGTGTGTGTGTGTGTGTGTGTGTGTTAAAGGTTTCGTTTATTACATCTATTTTTGGCCTGGGCTATTTCCTGAAGTCAAGCGAAACCTTTTAGGCATGTCACGCTATTAAGTTTACAATTCCCACATTCCTGATGCAATGTCACACACACACACACACACACACACACACACTGTGGACCAGTCTGAAGCCCAGCCACACCCTTTAATAGCTCTGCACACCTTCACCTGGTTTCTTTGGAAATTGAACGCCCTCGTTACCAAAGAACTCAGAAGATTTTAATCATCAATCAATCACATGCTGACAATAATTACTGCACATCAATGTGAAAATAAGGCGAGGATGTTTGAAGTTGGTTTCGAGGTCAGCGGGGTCTGTCGGTAAACTGGCAGGCTGGTGTTGTTTAGTCTAACAAGAACCAGTGGGAGCAATTAGAGGCCAGCGGAGTCACACTGCCCCCCCCCCCCCCCGTGTCTTCTGAGGGATATCCCTCCTCATCTCTTTTTAATTTGGCTGTCTACACACTTTGTTTCCCCCTTCCCTCTTGCACAAACACAGACGTAGAGCTGTCTCATGAGTCAGGATTAATCAGCTTTGTGGGACGGACCCTTCCCTTGAGCTGCCTGGATAACTTTACAGAGACGGTAATTACTTGCACAAACAAAAGAAGGTCAATAAACTCCCTCAGGTCTCTGGAGTTGAAGCAATCCTCAAGTGTACTGAGCTGTTGCGTGAGGCAAACAATTATTGGTAGCACGGAAATGTAGGTTTCTCTGGGACTCTGAAACGGACGTCCATCTTTCTGAGATCAACTAATCCTGTCTTCTCTCCTGACTGCTGCGACCTGGAGAGGACGAAGGAGGTTCACTTGTGGCGTATTTTAAGGGAATTTCTTCCTCTTCTCGGATGTGACTGAACTGCTGATGTCAGAGAGGAAAACTATACTCGGGTGTGTTTATGCACACAGAATCTCAGCTGATTTCGAACCCACACACACACACACACACACACTTGAGTCAGATGAGGTGAAGTGCCACCCACCACTCACCAGCTGCTGGGTGGGAGTCAGTTGTTAATGACTATTAGATATCAGCAAGGGGTCTGGTTTCACAATGGCTGAAAAGTTTTGTTTGTCTTTTATAAAAACCCCGGAAGCATCTTGAAACAGAACCTGTGGCTCCTGTAAAAACAACAGCAGATGAGTCACAACACATATTTTCATAAGAAGTTTATCTTCAGACTGACTTGTTTTCTAAATGGCTTTCACAGAAGACAGTATCCCAGTATACCTGATTGCTGTTTAGATAATTCACACAACCACTCCCACGTTACATCAGCTATTTTGGTTTACACCTCTATACCGCTCTGCCAACACTCATCAATCTATCACACACAACACATGCACACGACAGATTCTCACGCACTCCAAGTCCAAGTCTCAAGTCTTTTACAGGGAGAATATAAACTCTAAATTGTCATATCAGCTCATTTTGTTTGTAAATCCCTAAACTCCCGCTTTATATTTTAGCGGCCAAGTGGAATAGAAAAATGTGTCGCAGTCAAATAAATAAAACCAGCAAGTGGTAGAGGGCTGGTGTTAAATTCGTTCCCTAATCAGCGAGGCTAAAATAGCTCAGACTGGATGACATTTATGTAGTTTCATATGAAGGAGCTCACTGCTCCTCAGTGTGGAAACCTCTTGTTTTGTTTGTGCTACACAGTGCGCTTGACAACAAATTAAGTTGCATTAGTGTAGTCGCAACAAATAAGTGTTTTATTTTTAGAGTTTTTTTGCCCACATTATAGAATAAAGAAAGAAATATAGTATAGAAATAGCCATTTGTTGTGTATTTTTAAAAGGCTTCAACCTCTCTGCCAGTGACATTGCAGTATGTTCCTACATACACTGGACTGTCCTTTCTAAGAGGACGTTTTGGGCTGTTTGCTGCACATTGGCCCGTGACTTCATGCGTGTAATATACTGTGTTTCGACAGTTTGAGCGGAGGGGGGGGGGGCCGGGGACGGAGCGGAGGGCCGTCCGGCTGAGGACGCGCTAATAAGGTCAGCCAGACAGAGCAGCACTGCGGTGAAACAGGGAGCCAGACCGGCTGGACGGACTCCCCAAGTGCACCTTGAAGGAAATGGCCCACCAAACTACATATTTGGGTAATGAAAACACATTTGCCCGTCACCTCACACACATTCAAACAGACTCCCTGGTTGTGGAGTAATGGCCACGACAAGAATTCTCTTAAAAAAAGGACAGTTTCATTGTTTAGGTAGTTTTGAGTTCTGGTTGAAGTGGCACAGTCCCGCCCTTGTTAGGGCGGCAGTGGGACTGTCACCTCGCAGACCATCACGCGACCCAGTGGAGCGGAAGCTGGAACAGCGTGTATCAAAACAACACCATCACATCGACAGTTAGAGGAGACACTTGGCTTCTGCTTTGCATGGGTCTCTGTTGCGGACACTGACTGGACAAAACCGATTAACTGTCACCACCCGACCTCAAATCCCATCCCACGCACTGCTGATTTAGTCTCAGAACAAAGCGCATGCTGTCCTGTTATTAAAGGACAAACTATTTGAGAGCGGAGAAATATTTTTAATACTTATATCTCTCAGACAAAACGTGTGCATTTAATGGATCACATTCAGCAAGAACGGTTGTTAATATCAAACTACTGAGGGTTTTGTGATGACATTTATTTGACACTGCTGCCTCCTGTTGTTCAATTGCAGTAACAGCAAACATTCCTCGTCAAACAAAGAGAACTACAGGCTTACATTCAACCTGACAACAAATGCATCCTAATATTAAACGGCATCATAAACCATGTTGATACACGTTAAGGACCACTGACCGCTGGGTCCTGAGATGACTCCAGCTGCCCTTTGAGCTCGGCTAGCTGTCTCTCCATGTGGTAGACGTCTTCAGACATTTGCCTGAGCGAGTAAAGGAGTAAAATACTTGTGGTTTGTTCCCAAAATAACACGTATGTACTTGTTGGTATCCTCATATAGTTGCATTTATTTTTTGTTAACCTGTGAACTGCCTGGGCCCTGCTCAGTTGGCAGTGGAGGCGCTTGACGATGGCTTCATAGCGCCTGTTCTGGATCTGAAGGAGCGAAAACAAAATTATAATCCCGGCCTTCAGTCGTGATATCTTTCCTCGTGGTTTCTTATAGATGTCAGTCATGTTGACTTCCTTCTTGCCTTACCTCTATGTCTTTCTTTATCTGAGTATGAGTCGCAAACTCTTTCTGCACTTGCTCTCTCTCCTTAGCGATAGTCTCCCTCCTCGCAGAGATCTCCCTCTTCAGAGCATCATTTTCACTCTGCAGAAAAGAAAAAGTAACAATTAACGTGATTTGTAAAGTCAATATAATTCAGTATCATCCAGTTCTTTTTACTCCACCTTTGCCATTTGCACCGTGTTTCCATTTGGATTCTCCAAATCTTCCTCCAGCTCCTCTTTCTTCTGCGTCAGCATCCTGACCAGTGCTCTTTTCTCCTCCAGCTCTTTATGGGCCTCCGTCTGGCTCGCCGCATGCAAAACAGCTGCTCTGTGACCCTCCATCTTGGTTCGGTAAGTGTTGAACCGCGCCAGTGCCATGCGAGCGTTCTCCTCCTTCTCGCTTATACTGATCTGGAGTTCTGTGTTTTCCTTGCTGATGGCTGCATAGCGGTCATGCAGGACTTTGGTCTGACGCTCCAGGTGCTCCATCTCGCCCTCCAGCATGAGGAATTCCCTCACTTTAGATCTCAGGTCCTGCTCTGCCATCTCACCTTTCCTCTCGACATCTGAAAGAGTTGCCTGGATGAGGAACAAACCAAAATGTCCAAATCAGTGTCTTCTCTGCAAATATTCATTTGTGATATAAAGGCATTTGAAATAAGCAGGTAGATGAGATTAAAAGAGAGGTAAATGTGTCTATTCCACAGTTGTATTGCATGGATGCATATTCCTTATAATAAACTATTTGCAAGTGCAAAAACTTCAAATTAAGTTAGATATTTTGTACCAAATGTACTTTTTGCACTATTACATTAAACCATACAAAATGTTGCCTCTTTTTCTGCTAAACTACTCCTGCATTTTTCATGTGTTGTGTGTTTCATGTGACTTTTGAACATACAATCACTTCATTTTTAAGCAGCTGAAAAATACGGCCCTGTGCCACCACAATATTGGCAATATATTAAGTAAAACCAGCATATTTGGGGCATCAATTCCACAATAATACCAACTACTTCTACTGTTACTACCACTGCTAATAGGAAATGTGTACACAGAATAATGTGGTTTACAAGCAGTGTTAGTTTGAGTCGATAATGAATTAATCTAGGGGTAAAGGTGAACCTGCAGGGAGATGAGTGTCTTCTGTTTTTCTTTCAGGGACTCGATCTGGGCAAAGCCATGTTGGCTGACATCCTCCACTGCCTTGGTTAATGAAAACCCACGTTTCTCCTGTGTTCCTGAGGGACACATAAGTATGTTTAACCAGCTGACTGTTCATGCAGTTAGCAATCACATTTAGAAAGCATTATAAAGCTTTGTTGGCAGCCAACACGTTAGGTCTACGTAGCTACATGAACCCATAGCTAATGGTGTAATGGCTCCAGTTAAACAAGCACACCAAAGTTAATGGCGAACAAAAAAGAAGCTTAAAAACAGGTCTACAGTCAGCTAAAATCATGCTAGTTAGTAATTGGCTAACAAGGTTACGCTAGTTAGGTTAGCCTATATTTATTCATTGTTAAATCACCTTTCATAAACTCGGTTGAACATCGTTTTATTGATTTATTTTATCACTATAAGCACGTCTAACTATAATTAATATCTTACCAGCTTCACTCTCTCTAAAGTTAACGGTAGACATTTTGACCGTCAGCTAATGTTACGTTTGCTAGCGTTAAAGCGGTTTAACCATTGACGTGTTAACTAGCCAAAATGTTAAAGTTGAACGCTAAGCTAGGTTAGCTAACACTCCTCAAATTGATGCAATTTGTATTTGAATGATTAAGCAACTGAGTTTATGAAATACAATTTATTGAAAAAAATAAGCCAACTATTAGCTAGCGTTAGTTAATTATATCAATGGGCCTAACAAGAATGGGCCACTACATTTCCCAGAGTTCAATTCGCTTCCTCGACCTCGTTTGTCTAACTACATCCGGTTACGGCTAGCTACAGTAGCATTGATCTTTGACAGCACTTGTAAACACTTTAACAACACGTGTGTTAATTGTTTTACTGAACTCGTTGCTCTCTAAATGTATTAAAATGCTCGTCAATCGCTGTTTTCGACTGTGCTCTTTTTGTAGCCGTGTGGTTTACAGCAGCAGAGGAAGAAGAGCAGGATGGAGGACACCTACAGGACGCACCGGTCTGAAACATGTTTACATCACTCAGGTGCAACACTGGGGCACAGAAGCACCACGACGCCTCTATCACAGGGATTTGGGGGACTTGTACAAGACCGAGTCTGTTCAGCGGTATCTCCAGCAGCTCATGGAGGAGTTCAGAGACATTAGCAAGAAGTTACAGCACACATACCTCAGCGAGTCGGACAGAAAAGTGCTTCTGAAGAAACACACAGAGCTGCTGCCTCTGGCAAACGAGTTTGAGAGGATTGAACAAGCCCTGAAAGACCTCGAGGAAGTCCTTTCACTGCTGCATAGTAAGTATTTGTTTCGTTTCTGTCAGTTAAATCTGGCAAATGTTACTATTTGTCTTGCATTTTGAATTTAAGGTCTTAAACTGTATTAGAATGTGTTTCATGTAAATAAAGGTATTGCAGTCTGTATTATTAAGCACAGTTGACCTCCATGTTCTTGTTAAAGTCACTCTTAAATTGCAGATAGTATCAAAATGTTTGAGAATGCTAATACCACGAGCTGCATTCCCTCCTGACTGCAGGTTCAGCCGGTTCCAAAGATGAAGATGAACAATTGACCCAGCTGTTGAAAGAGGAGGAAGCACACTTCTCCTGCAAGATTTTGGCCTCAAGGAAAGATGTACGAACACAAAAGCTTGATCAAATAAACGTAGAGATGTGTCATAAGGCAGTTAAAGAGTGAATCTTCTTTCTCTCCAGTTGGTCAAAGCTCTGGTGCCCACCGACCCTCTTGACTCAAGTAATATTCTGCTGGAGGTTGTATCAGGACGAACAACAGGAGGTACGAAAGAATGCAAACAGTTTCTTCTAACTGCTGATCAATAACAACATGCAGTACGTTTTCTTAATATCTGTTCATGTGGTTTCAGGTGACATCTGTCAGCAGTTCACCAGAGAAATGTTTGACATGTACCAGGGTTTTGCCTTTTACAAGAATTGGGACTTTGAGCGTCTGAACTACACGCCTGCTGAGTTTGGTAAGTCACATATGTGTCTGTACTCTATTATTAATTATTTGAGCCTTCGCAGAGCCGTATGCACATGACCAGGGAATATTTTGACCTCAATACGGTTGGGAACAAGCGTATTAACTTGACTGTGGTTCTCAGGTGGTCTGCACCATGCAGCAGTGAGAATAGCTGGGGACAATGTGTACAGACATCTAAAGCATGAAGGAGGAACTCACCGGGTGCAAAGGATCCCTGAGGTGGGCCTCTCCTCCAGGATGCAGCGTATCCACACAGGGACCATGACTGTCATCATCTTGCCTCAGCCGGTGGAGGTACACTTTACCTTCTGCTTTTCATCAGTCTGTGTTATTAGCATGATTTAAAAAAAACATCTCTTTTTTTTTGTGCCATGTGCTCGTAGTTTGACGTCCACATTGATCCAAAGGATCTTCGCATCGACACATTCAGATCTCGAGGTGCCGGGGGCCAAAGTGTCAACACCACAGACAGCGCAGTTCGCATCGTTCACCTTCCCACCGGTAAAACATGCCAGAGCAGTTCTGCAGCCACTCCAGACTAGAGACGGTTATGCTTTCATGTCTTATAAATGTCAGACACCCTTCAAACAGGTACAACAGCTGAATGTCAGCAGACTCGCTCTCAGCTGCAAAACCGAGACACTGCCATGCGTGTGCTGAGGGCCCGGCTCTACCAGAGCATGATGGGTAAAGAGACTGCGCAGAGGCATACAGCACGGAAGCAGCAGGTGAGTGAACTCCTCTTGAACAGGGAAATTGTAATATTCACAGATCCTTGTCTTTTTAAACTGTCTTCATTTCCTATCTGTGTCTTACTCCAGGTGGGCACACGTTCCCAGTCAGAGAGGATTCGTACTTACAACTTCAGCCAAGATCGTGTCACAGACCACAGGACTGGATATGTTGCTAGAGATATTAAGGTAGTGTGTTTCAAAATTCTGCATAAATCACAAGAAACCTGTACATTTTATGTTTGTCATTTTCAACCAGTAAACTTCTCGCAAAACTGATCTGTCGTGTCTTTATTTGTTTGCCTTTTTAAGTCAGTTTCTCATGAGTTTAAAATCAATGCCACATGCGTTGTGCTCCATGTGTAGGAGTTCATGAGAGGAGGGGAGGCTCTCCATGATCTGATCGCTGATGTACTTGAGCATGCAGAGAGGGAGGCTCTTCTGGAGGTGGTGGAGAGCAGCAGCAGCCCGAAACCAGCGGAGTGTGGACAATCTGCAGACTGACACTAAACATGCAGTATGCCATTTAGTGGATGGGGGATAAAATATACTTATTTATTTTAATATTAATGTAAGCTTGTGCAATAGTCAGCCAAACTGCAGTTCACTCATACTTAAGGTTTTTATTTTTCTAATAAAACTTTGAATAATGTGTTTGTGTCATGGTAATTCCCTAAATAGTAATACATATTTATAAATGATCAATACTTTACACTGCTTTAGGATAAACCAATTTCATATTCTTAGTTTTAAAACTGAACTATAGTAAGTTAAAAGCTGCACATATCTTCTAAAAAAATTATTATGTATTGCTAATGCCAAAAATGTCTTTCTTTCTTTTCATGAATCCTTTCATCATAAAGTGCAGTAAAGCTGACTTTTTATGTTGAATGTAAACAGACTGTCGGTAAACATCCTTCATATCAGGGTGCGGTGAAACCACCTATCAGCTTTATACACACACACACACTCACCAAAAACATGTCCCACCCTGCATGTGTGTGCCAGCTGACCAACAACCCCCACTATTTTTTCTCTACTCATTGATTACAATTAATATTGTTTCGCCTTCATACAGTTACATTTCAAAATCATAATTTACATTTTCAGTATCCGGACGGTCATCATTTATTGAGATCACATGTTTCCATCTTTGATCTTGCTGCTTTATGAGAGTTTGACAATCAAATATATGTTTCCACAATAAGAAAAATACAAATATGGAAAATAGAAAACGTTATTAGAATAGCTGTATATAAGTAAATCTGCCCGTACCAGACAACAGGATGAAATGACAATATTGTATACATGAGATAAGACTAGAAAAGTGTTGCACACCTTCATGATGACAGATGTCCATACAAAGAATGTGGATCGCGTCCAGTGGTAGACATTTTTATGATAAGAAATAATAAACATATTTTAAGCTTTTTTGAAGAAACACCATTTTTTTTCATTCTCAGCTCAATTTGTCTTAAAAAAGGTGTGTGCATCTTATGTAAAGAAAAGAAAAACACTACTAATACATTTAATATGCTTGAAAAATGTAAAAAAAAAAAAAAAAAAGTTCCTAGAAAGAGTTTGTGTAAAAGTCTTCCACTGCATGAAGTTTTTATGTATTTGGGTCAGTCGTCGTCGTCGTCGTCTCTCTGTCGGAGGCTCCTGGATTTGCCGTTCTGCGTCTTGTTTTTCCTGAATGAAGCGGGTCCACTTTCCCCTCCGATGGATGTGATGATGCGCTCCCTGAACTTGGGCTTTGGCTCTCGCGGCAGCTCGGCTGGAGCGCTGGCGCTGCTGCTTCTGCTTCCCTCCACCTTAGGCAACTGTAGGTCCACCTTGGCACTGCAGAGGGAAGACAACGAAATGATCAGAGCTTTTTCAGTGCTGCTGGCACATGTATCAGAGTCTGTAGGCTACATATACAATCATTGGATCAATCAGCACTTACTATGGATCCTCCTCTTCCCGGATCTTTTCCCAGGTCCCATATGGATTGGCAGTTTTTGGCCTTCTGGCTTGTTTCTTCACTGGTGCCGCCTCTACCTTTTTCTCCTCTTTGGGTTCAGCTGTCGTGCGTTGGACCTCTTCCTCCCTTTTCATCTCTTCAGACTCCTCTTTAGGAGCGTCATCACTCACTTTATCTTCTCCCTCCTGCTCTGATGGCTCGGCTTCTGCTTTCCTTTTCTGAAAACAAACAAGGAAAAGTGTGACGTCTGGATTTGTTATTTTTACACAGAATCTTGACAAGCAGAAGTTGAATTCCTCCTCTCACCCTGAAGCTGATCTCTGCAGCGTTGGACTGCTGGCTTTCTTGTTCAGGGACTTCAGGCTCCTGAGGTACCGGGGCCCCACTGGACCTCTCCTCTCCTCCTGGTGGGGGCGGCTCCTCCTGACTCTCTCCCTCTTTGTTGGGCACAGTTCCAGGTGCTTTAATTGAAGGAAAGCCTGCTGGCTTCTCCCAACTGGTCTCTGTGAGGTAAGGAAGATAGTGCATGTGATTATCAGACAGTATCTCCATAAAGAAGACGTGGTAACAGGGGTTTTAAAAAATATTCCACCTCCAGTCTCTGAGTTGTAGTAATATGTATAACCATCAGGACTGACAGCTTCCTTCCATGGACAGCCTGAAGAGCTCTAAAGACAAACAATATTAACATATTAGCAAACAACGATTTGAAGTAAAATGTACATACTAAAAATGCACAGAAACTATGACAATAAACATTAACCTCTGTCCGTCCAGGCTGTGCAGAGGCTGGGTCTTCTCCCAGAACACCCTCTGGGTTTCCCCATTTAGATTCTGTAATTAAAATACAACGACAACATAACGCCAAAACCTGGTTGGAAAGAGCCAGTGTGTATAAAAATAACATGGGAGTATGTTGGTTGTGTTTTTAAGTTCTTCTCACCTCCAGTTATTGTGTTGTAATAGTACATGTGTCCATCTTCTGTCCGTCCTTCAACCCAAACCTGAGCCTCTGTTTGGCCTCTGGACTTCCAGCTCGCTTTCGCTTGATTTTTCTGTTTTTTGGCCTGAGGTCCTGCCCGGGGTCCGGCCCGAGGTCCGGCCCGAGTTCCTGGCTGAGGTCCGGCCTGGGGTCCGGCCTGGGGTCCGGCCTGGGGTCCTAACTGAGGTCCTATCTGAGGTTTTGACTGAGGTTTTGCCTTTGGTTGTGGCTGTGTAGTTACTTGGGCTGGTAATCCTAACACAAAAACATATATTTAAAGTTATGAAAGAGCAGAAGCTCCTCCTGCGTAGGAACACGTTACATATTATTTGAATAAAATGTCAAATTACCTGCCGACTCCCTTTCCATCCTCTTCAGATCTTCCTCATATGCCTTCACCGCAGCCTCCTCCATTGCCGCAAACTCTTTTGACATACGTGCCTCCTGCTTGGCCTTATCAATGCTCTTCTTTTTAATCTGCAGGAGGAAAGATAAAATGAGACGAGTGGTAGAGGCTGGTAGCCAATAAAAAGAGGGCTTTAGAGTCGGAGTGTAAAGTCTGGACCTTATCTCTCCTGCCAGTCCCGAGGACAGTGCCAACATGGGCATGTTTTTCTCAGCTGTGTATGTCACTGAGAACCGTCATTGATTACAAACACAGAAAGAGTAAATACATATGAATGTTAATACCTCAGAGATCTTTGCAGCCACATTTTCTTTGTGATTCTTCCCTCTTTCGTGGAACTCGACGCTCTGCAGAGCAAAACAAACATGAGGAGACACATTGGCATAATATGTGGATACAGTCTTCAGCAACATGAATCTTTCGGCCAACTCACAGGCTTATTGTCCGCGATCCAGCACTTGCAGTACTGGCAGAATTTCCTTGGTTGTGACTTCCAGTAGTCAGCCCTGAAAATGCACAAAACTATCATTAATTATCGAAACAAGTATGAATCATATCATCTTTAGCCTGGACAGCTAACGCGGCTAGCTAGCTGGAGCTTTTCATGCTTCTTTATTCAACATTATATAATAATAATACACATTAAACTTACAGAACATTTCTCTGATTGTATCTCAATACTTACATTTCAAGCCTTTGCGGTTTAAAGTACGACGAAAAGTATTTAAAACGAACCAAATAAAAAGACAAACGCTTCCCACATTTCAGGAATGACAACAATGGCCGTTTGTGATGACGTCATCGCCAGTCGCCGTAGAGATGAGTCCTCGAGCTGATATATAAAATATTGAAAAAACACATTACAATTAAATATATATTTATATATTAGAATTGATACATACACATAAATTAATCAAAACAAGTTTTGATACTGATGGAGAGCTACGGTATCGGAGTTGGTTTATACTTTATACGTTTTATAACTTTAGAACTTCGGAGTTCTGCATACCGTCCCATATGGTCTAGCGGTTAGGATTCCTGGTTTTCACCCAGGCGGCCCGGGTTCGACTCCCGGTATGGGAACGACTTCTTTTAAACTCTTTCTAGGGCAAAGACTAAATTTAATTTATATAAAAGCTGACGATTTCATTTAACTGGAAACTATGTCACAAAACATGTACTCATAAACTTTGTTAGACAATTAAAGGAAATAAACGAAGCAGCTGGACACAAGATGGTTAATTGTCCATCTCCCAAATATAGATTCTGCAGTATCTTTTGAAATGCTTGTGAGAACATTTTAATATCTAAAAGTGTATTTTGCATTGAACAAAATAGCACAATAAATTCAGTATGAATGGGATATTATTCAAATAGAATAACTATAAGAGAAGAACCAGGGCTATATCAAACGAGACAAAATATTATAAAACATACAGATATTAAGTGTCTATGTTTGTCGAATTAGAAAGTAGTTACATATTGCTCAACATCCTTCAGGAAAATAACAAAATATATTTTTGTTCTTGCCAATATCATTGTCAAATTTATTATAACAAATATTTGTTTTCTTTCTTGGATTTTTGAAGAAACCAAACCCCAAATTTCCCCAAATACTGTTAAGTATTTAAAATGTGTTTAACTGCTTTGAATATAATCACGGAAAGAGCCGTTCGTGTTTATGTCTTTTCAGAATTTCTCCAAATAACATTTTTTGCTGTTTGTCACTGTTGCGCCAGACTGGTTTGCGTCATCATTGTGCGCCAGGACAAATAGTGCGTAGAAGTCCGCGACAGACCACGCCCCCTCAGTCTCTCCTTTATCTTGAGCCGTTTTCCCGATTTTTTGCCGGTAATCAGTTTTCTAATTCAGTGGAGAAGCTCTCGTGCTGCCCATGAACGGGACCATGGCCGCGTGCTCACACCGGATAACGTTAGGGCCGTTGGTGGCTGCCATCGACCAGGGCACGAGCTCCACCCGGTTTCTGGTAAGAAGGCAAAGGTGTTAGAGACAAATGGTGAAATGTTACAGAATTCCATTTAAAACTATATCTTGCCATTAAAATGTGGCTAAACTCATTTATTTAATGATTATTGATACATCTTAGTCCATAGCAAGTATAGCAAAACACAAGTGTATTTAGTTTTTGCTCTCCAACTAGAAGGAACAGATGTTTTTATGTATTGTTCTGGCTGTGGCTGATAGTTAATAGGGCACCACAAGCACAAACTGTCCTACAAACAAGACACATGGTCACAGATTATATTTTAATTGATCTGTGGCTTCTTATTAGAGCTTCTGCCATTTCTCTCTCTTTGAAGGTGTTTAATTCAAAAACAGCAGAGCTCCTCAGCCATCATCAGGTGGAAATCAAACAGAGCTTCCCCAAAGAAGGGTTCGTGTAAAGCTCCGATACAACTCCTTAAAGATGCTTACATAACTTAGAAATGTGTCGATCTGGATTTTTGTTCCCTTATTTTCAGATGGGTGGAGGAAGACCCCAAAGAAATTCTGCAGTCGGTGTACGAGTGCATGGACCGGACGTGTGAAAAGCTCACCCAGCTCAACATAGACATCTCGAACATTAAAGGTATTCACTCACACGTGGTGTTTATGCTCCCCTGGAGACGTTTTAATTTCTTTCAAAGACTTGTTAATGATCTAAAATCTTTCAAAATTGTTGCTTGAATCTGTCCAGCTATTGGAGTGACCAACCAAAGAGAGACCACGGTTGTTTGGGACAAAGAGACGGGGGAGCCCCTCTACAATGCCATCGGTAATGTTGTGTTTCCATTCATCCTGGCACAGATGTGACATTCTTTAGTAATGTAAGCGGTCTGGATGTGGACACAAACAGCAGATTGATTGATTTTTGTTTGTCCTTCAGTTTGGCTCGACCTGCGGACTCAATCGACAGTTGAACGTCTAATCAACAAAACTCCAGGAAAGAATAAGAACCACTTGAAGGTGAGTCACGCTCTGCTCTCTCTTGTTCATTCATCGTAATGCGTCATAATGCTGAGTTGTTTATTGTCGTCCCGCAGCATAAGACGGGGCTCCCCATCAGCACCTACTTCAGCGCAGTGAAGCTCCGCTGGCTGATGGACAACGTGGACGAGGTCCGCGAGGCCGTCGTGTCTCACCGCGCCATGTTCGGCACCGTGGACTCCTGGCTCATTTGGGTAAGCAACGGTTGTGTGGGTGTCATGATGGTGACAAGTGTAGAAACTGACTCTTTGTGTGTATTTTTTATTGGTGGTCGCACAGTGTTTAACCGGGGGCAAGTCAGGCGGAGTCCACTGCACAGATGTGACCAACGCCAGCAGAACCATGTTGTTTAACATCCACACTTTGGACTGGGACCCAGAACTCTGCACGTACGACATCCGTCTGTCACTCAAAACACTAGTTTATAAATATTAATAGTCTGGAAATCATTCTGGTGCTCTTTCCCGTCAGGTATTTTGGTATTCCCATGGAGATCTTGCCCCGAGTGAGGAGTTCTTCCGAAATCTACGGTCTCATGGTAAGCATGCATACGTATACAGTCAACCCTGCTTACAATCTTCCTACAACGACTCTGTTATAGTCCTGTTTTATCCCAATATCTTCACTGCTGTGTGTTGAAAGAGTGGTGTTCTGTTTTAAGTGCATGAAAGGTGGACTGATGAATTATTTTAGGCTTTTATCTTGTGTGCCATTGTCTCCCCTCTCTCACTGGTAGAAAATTTGTTCTAGCCGGGTAAGTAATACTCGCCATCACATCATTCCCCTCATCATGCACAGCAACCTGTCCTGCTTTTCTGTGGACACGCCGTCACACAGTGCATTTCCAAGATTCATGTGAAGGCTTATGCCTCCGTAAAATGTCCTGCAGCGCTGATAAATTCCCCAAAAATAGAAATGTGCGCTACCTGCTCAGCAGCAAGTAGAGAAACAGCTTGATCACAGACATTTGTTCAGTGATTTTGGACCCAGCAACACACACACACACACACACACACACACACATGAGTGCGTACATGTACGGTGTGTTGGAAATGTACTGGATGCTCCCCGTCCCTCATTGCTTCTGTGGTGGCATGTCAGCCTGACAACGTAAAGACATTTGAACAGTCCATCCTGTGAAAAGGAATAGTTTGAACCAAAAATACAAGTAGAGTCAAAATGCTCTTTTGATGTGACTTCAGCATTAAGTTCACGGTTCACTTATTAAACAGTTCATCTGTTCTTTTGGCAGAAATCTGGAGCTCTCTCGGGTATCCCCATTTCTGGGGTAAGTTCATCTCTAGTTTTACTTTCCAGCGTTTTCTCTCCATCTCAGTATTTGAGGCATTCAATGGCTCCACCTGATGGACTTATGTGTGAATTAAACGCAGTGTCTTGGCGATCAGTCGGCAGCGCTGGTTGGACAGATGTGTTTTCAGGACGGGCAGGCTAAAAACACGTAGGTGGCTCTGTGTGTTTTCATTCTCTTCAGATGTATCGGTTCTAGTATCAGTGGTTTGATGTATTTTGTGTTTTCAGGTATGGAACTGGCTGCTTTCTCCTGCGAAACACAGGAGCCAAGGTATAATACAACATATTTGCATTTTAACGGTGACATCGGAGCACATTCTGCACACAGTGGCATTGTTCTTCTGTCGTTCGCAGCCTGTAATGTCTGACCACGGCCTTCTGACCACTGTGGCCTACAAGCTTGGTCGAGATAAACCTGCCTGCTACGCACTCGAGGTACAGCATCTTAAATACACTAATATTCCTTTCATTATAATCAGTACTTCTAATCTCAAAAGATGTTCTTCCGGGTGCTTCTTGCCAGGGCTCTGTGGCCATTTGTGGAGCCGTGGTTCGTTGGCTGCAGGACAATCTGGGGATCATCGGATCATCTGAAGAGCTAGGTATGTGTATAGTTCTGACGTTTCTTCACTGATTACTTGAGTCTTTATATTTAAGGAAACACGGGTCGTGATGTCTGTTTATGTATTGTGATTTACTTTTGGTGAACTCTTTTCCCCTCTTTCCCGTTGCAGAGAAGCTGGCTGCATCGGTCGGTACATCCTACGGCTGTTATTTTGTTCCTGCTTTTTCAGGTCTTTATGCTCCGTACTGGGAGCCCAGTGCTCGAGGGTAAGTCCAAGATCTACTCCGCAGCGCAGCTAAGAATGAAATCATCGTCTGAAGTTATTCACGCAGCTGTCCTTTCTGATTCACAGGATCATTTGTGGGTTAACTCAGTTCACCAATAAGAGTCACGTTGCCTTCGCTGCTCTGGAAGCTGTGTGTTTCCAGACCAGAGAGGTGAGCGCTCTCTGCTTCTCTAAAGTACTGCAGCCTGGCACATGATGCACAAGCTAACTGAATACTTGTGATATTTGTTGCGTTTGAATGCAGATACTGGACGCCATGAACCAAGACAGCGGCATCCCGCTGACTCAGCTCCAGGTGGACGGAGGAATGACGTCCAACAGGCTGCTGATGCAGCTGCAGGCAGACATCCTCTGCATCCCTGTTGGTAAGATGTCCATTCATGTCTTATCATGTTTGTTGGCTGTATTGCGACACGATTGTTCTTCTTATTGTCATCCTGATTGTTTGCAGTGAAGCCGTCCATGCCCGAGACCACAGCTCTCGGTGCAGCGATGGCGGCAGGAGCAGCAGAGGGGGTGAGTGTGTGGAGCCTGAGCCCTGAGGACCTGAGTGAAGTCACCTCCGAGAAGTTCGAGCCTCAGATCAACCCCGAAGGTACAGTGAGCCGCCGCTGCTGTCTGGCAAAGACGCGTCCTCAGTAGCCGCCGCTTTGAAAAGTGAAAGGTCTGCCTGTGTGTTCTCAGAGAGCGAGTTTCGGTACGCTCGGTGGAAGAAGGCGGTTCAGAAATCCATGAACTGGGAGACGACGGAGCCCGTCTGTAATGGAAACGGTAGGAAGTTTAGCGCTCACTGACGAGCCAAATTCAGACTCTAAAAGTTGAATACTCACTGTTAATGTTTAAATATTAAAGGATGAATATAATACTTCCTGATATAGATGTATGTATGACTATCTGTCAGTAGGTTGGTGTCGTGGAAATCTGTCTTTGTCACGGTGCGTTTGTTTTGTTGTATAACTGCTCTTCTCGCTGTTTAAATGACCAAAAGGTGAGACGAGTATCTTCAGCAGCACCCCCCTGGGCCTCTACATCATGGGCAGCATGTTGATGTTAGTCGGTGCCAAATACCTCGCAGGTCAGTGTCGACCTGATGATAGACGGCTGCATTTCTTTGTGTTTTTGACTTTTAAGTGCATGTGGTTATTACGGTTTGATGAGAAATAACAAAGCAAATGCATTAAAGTGAGTTGTCATTGATTTCTTTGTATTGTGTTTGTTAAATTAACAAAATGTTCTGGTTTCTTTCGACATCAGGCCCCGACTGAACTCGTGGAGGCGAATTGAAACGACGCTCTTCATGCTGGACCACCACTTCAATAATGGGACCTTTTTGAATGTATTTTTCTGTGCAGCGGGCATTGGTACATTGGACATTCATTTCAGCGGATGTTTGCATGCAGTAGTTAAGTCAAAACTCTACCAATAGTACTTCATGTTTTTGTAACTCTGCGTTCCGTGCTGTTCCAAACCCTCCACTATGAGGCACAGAGCACTTTATGTTGTCGTCCTGTGGGAGCTGTGGTCTAACAGAGTTTAATATATATTTGTTCTGGAGTGTTTGCGGTTCATGGAGTCAGTTGTTGACCTGAAGGGATGAAATCGCTGCATTCAAAGTGCTCTTTTGGGGTGTAACCACAACTTACTAATGGATATTTATGAATGAATTGAATATAGTGGAAAAGTCATCTTTCATGCTGAAGTAAAATTAGAGAAACGGACTTAAAATGATGGCGAGCATGAAAGCAAAGTGTGCTGCCAATACGAGCTCTGACTGACATTTGAAGAGGAATTGTTACATGTGGAACAATGATCTCTCTGCACGTTGGCTACTCCCTCATTCCCTTCATCTCACTCACAATGGGTATGAAGAGGAAATAAAATGCAGCAGGTTCAGTTTGACATGTAATTGGTTTGACATGAGGAAACCAGGTGTGCTTGTGAAAACCCCTTTAATGAATGGAAACAGGTTTTATGGGAGAATGCGTGTCATGAAAAATAAAGTTATGTACTTGTGAATTGTACGGTTGCTCTTTGGTTTCATGTGCATGCTGTCTTTAAAGATCAGTATCTATATCTATCTATCTCTATATATATCTATATATCTCTATCTATATATCTATATATCTCTATCTAT